GAGTTTCTTTCATTCAATGTCCAAATCAAGGTCCCATGTGGTCTAGTTCAAAGAATAAGCTCAAGTCCAAAACATGTTCAGATAAAGTTCAGGCTCAAAATGAGCCTCTTCCGTTCAAGTCCCCTGTTGTCCTTGCATGTTCAAGTTCCTTGTAGTTGTCCCAAACTACAATCTCAAGTCAAAGTTCTTTGCATTTGTTCTTTTTGAGTTCAATCAAATTTTCTTGTATTATTCAAATTCACTTGAGTTTAAGTTCATTTAGGTCCATTATGGTTCAAATTAGGTCCAAGTGCAATCTTAAATTTACCAAAAATTTCGGCAACCTCCGGACATCTCCCCCGTTTAGGGACAAACTACGGGAAACTCGGTCTTTCCCACCACGCTAAGAAAAGCGTGTATGGTAGGTGTCCTCGAACGAGGATACCACGGCCATTTTTTTTTTAATCCCCCACCATGCTAAGAAAAGCGTGTATGGGTCTTCGGCACTTGTTGCAAAGGGAAAGCAGTTATTTCCCCGCAAGTGAGTACTTATGGGTATCCCACTTCGTCGTACGCGTCGCACCGGGTTCCCATCCCACCACGCTATGAAAAGCGTGTATAGGCGGTTTTCCGGTGCGCCATGAACTCCGGAGAAAGGATTTTAGGTGACTACCCGCTCCGTCGCAAGAATCGTGACGCAATTCCTCCCACAACGCTAAGAAAAGCATGTATGGGTGGTCGTTTTGTCGCGTTGCAAGCATCGAAATCAGGTTCTCAGAGTTTCAGGGTTTAGAGAGATTATACCTGTACGGGTCAGCATGTGGATCGAGGGAAGGAGAGGTATGCATTTGTATTTCATTTTTTTAGAAATTAATTATAATTAATTACTACTAATAATAAATTATAATTAAAGATACTTAATTATAAAATAATAATTAATTATCATTAATTATAATTAATTAGGATTAATTTATAATTAATATCAACTAACTATATATAAATTATAATTAATTATAATTATCTTATAATAAATAATTATAATTAAATTAATTAATTATGATTAAAATAATTAGTTATAAATAACGATATTTTTTAATAATTAACTATAATTAATATAAACTAATTATAAAAATTATAATTAATTTATAACTAATTATAATTATTTTATAAATTGATTACATTTAAAAATAATTAATAATAATAATAATAATGGCTTGGTGGAGATCAGAGATCTGGCTTTGGATGAGGGCAATCGGAGGTCTGATCGGCTTGCAACAGAGGGAGTTGGGTTTGGATTCAGTGAGGCGTTGGGCTCAGAGATCAGAAGAGAGGTTTCGCGTGGAGGAGGTGAATGAGGGGGAAGAGCAACCGAAAGCCTCGCTCGGTTGGGTATTTAAGGACGCGAATTGGGTATGATTGAGCGGGGATATCCGGCAAAGCTTTACACGCAGGTAATGATTTTTAAAGCCCCTTAATTTGTTGTTCTATTTCTATTACAGAGGTTAACACCTCTACAAACGATAATCACAGCAACATGGAGTGCCCCTGAGGAGAAGGATGCTTATTTGACATATTGACTCTAGCATGAGATCTCTGCCTAAATGCTCTCGACATGATAAGGCTAACTTCTTGAGAATAAAGACCAAAAAAGGTAACGTGCCAAAAAGGTTAATGAGAGGAAGGGTTGGATGTTTAGAGAGTTGACATAAAATGAAAAGATAGGATGGGAGGTTTAGAGGCTTATCCCCATCTAGGATTGTAAATGAGTTGAGTTGAGTTAAGCCAACCCTAATTTGAGATTGACCAAGACTAATTAATCAAATTTCTAGTTTGAGCAATTCGTTAGCTTGCTCATTTATTATGAAAGACAATGATTTCAATTCAAGCTGCTACTGGTATAAAATAATAACAAAAACAATATGATGTCCCTTCCAATGGTGATGATCAATCAACATATGAAGACTATGGTTTTCCACAAATGCTGAAGGTCTTCAAGAATGCAAATACCAACATATGTGTTTTTTATCAATAGGCATGACAGATCGATAACACATGCAAACAAAAATCAAATCAAAATGCAATCAAATAGCAAAAAATCACTTGTGATATGCAAGCATTAATTGACATTCATGAGTTCTCAATCAAGATCAAATGGAGAATTCATATAGAGAGGCATGACATAAGTCACTAAGCAGTGGATCGGACCTCCGAATAATAGATGCACAATCATAGAGGAATGATCCTATTCACCCAAATGTAAATTATCACATGAACAAGGAGTGGTGAAATTGATATGGCTCAAGTCATTCAATCAAAGTTGTGTGCTTGCAATGACCAAATGAGGAACGAGGAAATATGCCTACAACTAGTAGTGTAAGGTTTACCACAAATACTTAAAAGCCTTCTTGCCAAGTAAGATTTAAATATCAACGATAATGATTGTTGAGAAGCCACTTTCAAGGACAATAGATCCATAACGCATGTAATAAGTCTTGCATGAATGAAGATTCAAAGTTGATTTGAGAAGCATTTGATGATTATAAGTTTCATACAGACGATGTCACATGGCTCTAAGTAAACACACTACAATTCTTTGCAAATATCAGAGCGAACGTACAAGAGATATATCAACCCCTGCAATCAATGATAATAAACATGTTGCATGAGTAATGGATCATTCGTGAACATAGATATACCCACAACAGGTTATCTACGAATAGATGCATAAGTTCCCACAAGCAAAAGAGATAGACATGTGGCAAATACAAATATCTATAAACTGCTGTAGAGAACCTATCATATCCACAAAATGTTAACCTTGAGCAAATACACAAGAGCTTCAACAAGTGCAAGTTCCTATGATCCAAAGCAGGAGATTCATTAGTGCACTATGATCCAACTATAGAAAACAAACAAGTAGTGCACGACAGTCTACCTGTACAAAGCAGCGAACAACTTTATTCAGAAGCTGCTACGCCACACCACTGGATCCATAACATCCATGCAAGCAGACATAAGGCGTTTACAAATATTTCAAGAATACCCCCGCACGTGCACTATAATTTCTATACACATAGGTACACAAAAGAAATAAATGTACAATACACCCGCATAGGCCTCAACGAGTATGTCGTAAAAACACATGTGACGTCTTGGGATACTGCATCGATAAATAAATTTGAACCCGATTCTCCCAGCAAGTAAATAAAAGTCGACAAGGTTCAAAAACGCCCCCAAACAGTTGTATGGCCCCGACGAGCGTGTTATGGGTACGCATGTGACATCTATGGATGCTGCGCGGGTTAATAAATAAATTTAAGTTCTATCCCGATCCTTTTATGTGGGTAGATAGGAGTCGACACAGCTCGAACTATTAAATAAATATGCAGTCTTGAGATAAACCAAGATATTTATTTTATACATTCATATTAGGCCTTCAAGGCCTTCAATAAAGAAAATGTACAAATATATGCATAAAGCCTACAAAACAGGATTCCCTAACGACAGGGTTCAATCAATAAAGAGAAATAAGACCTTACACCCTAATGATGGCCGTGTTGAATGAAAATCTCAACCGAAGGGGTTTACAAACACCTTCAAATGCATTCCAAGCTCCACCCAAATACCCACAAAATCCAAAACTCCACAAATCCCAAAATCTAGATATTTAAAGTTGAAATAAATCTATCAGCACTTAATGCAAAATCCATCTGCCTTCCGTAACAGTTTGTCGAGGTGGACAAATTTGAATATAACTTCAGCTCACATAGAACTAATTCCTAGTCGAAAATATCACTAGGATCCATTCTCAAATAATCTTCTGCCATTAAAGACGTTGTTCGTGTCCTTTGACCGACAGTTTTGCCGCCAAATGGCATCGTAAGATAAACGGTTATGACCCGGGGCCCTCTAAACCGAGTGTTTTTGCTGCCAAATAGCACCATGAAATACCAGTTATGCCTAGAGCCAATACGCTCTTTAGTGGCATTAAATCCTTGAGATATGAATCAATAGGATATGATCGATAGGGCACAAAGCTCTTTGTTAGCTAAGGTGGATTCAAATTTGTCCCCTTAACATCCCAGGTCTACAAAGTCCCCTTGGACGGAGCAACCCATGGCTGTCGACAAGGATCCTTCTGTCAGGTTGGGTTGACTACCTCCTCTGACTAACTAAACCAGGGATCATGATGGCCTGGGATGAAGGAACCATAGGATCTTGATCGGGTCCATCATCCATTCCCCCACCATGATGTTACTATACGCCTGAGATGGTGAAATTTCTAATTTTAAATATCAAACTTTTCATATTCCCAAATCCAAACCCATGCTGCTACTATACGCCTGATACTACATATCTATGGATATATTGTATCTAATCGACGACTAGCCTTAATCAAAATTTCTCTCTCGTTATCGGGAGGGGTGCTTGTGCTTATAGGAAACCAGAACTCAGATCATAAAGTCCTCACAAAATGAGGACAAATTCTCTGGGTAGTGTCTTATCTATAAACCCATCTGCCTTCCAAAATTTACCCAGGAACTAATTCCGTTAAAACTCCCACGTCGAAGAAAAAGTAAACAGTCGGGCAGAGGCCAGGGCCGAATTTTCGGAGCCCAAAGATTTCTAGCGACTCTGATGGAGATTGGTTTCTCTTTCTATCTTTTCCTAGTCATCTCAGTGTTATAGTAACAGCTATATCAATCTGTACTTAAAATTTTGAGTAATTTAAAAAATGATCATTCAATTTAAAATTTTCTAAAATTATCATTCATACATCCATTGAGATAACGTATTTTACATGGCTATAAATTTATATTATTTTGAATTGCTTGCTAATATTATCTGCTTTTATTTTCTATTATGTGTAAATCTCTGCACTTTGAAAGTGTGGGGTGATGTATCAGATTCTGATTTTTAACCCTCACCTTTCATTCATATAGATGGATCTACAGAATACTCCAATGACTGTCCAACTGGGATAATGTGCCAGGATCCAACCGGCAAACACTTTCATTGAGATGGGAAATACTGGAGCTACCATCCAGTTTGGTAGTCTCGATTTCTCTGCTTTTGTTGCAAGGTTTGCCGTCGTTCCTCTGAATGACATAAGTATTGAAAGGCCTGTCAGTAGGCCCTTTTCTATTGAAGTTGCTACACGCCGGACGCATCCGCCAGCGTCATGGGGTACTAATGCTGCTGAAAATTCTCGTAAGAGGGTTTCCATATTTGAACGGTTGTCGCAACCTGAAGCCCAAGCTACTAAGAGGGTCGTAGGCAGAGGAAGAATATCAGTGGTGACTGCTAACACCACTACTCTGTCAACTAGGTTATCTACACTTGTAAAATACGATGCTGAAGCCTCCTCATTTGGAGGAAGGCTTACAAGGAGGTAGAGAAGGAAGCTGAATGCTAAACTTTGAGCTCAATAACAATTGGTGCATGTCCACCCTTCAAACCTACCTACCCAAGAGCCTGAGGCAACCATTCCCATCCGGAATGGGTTTGCAGGTTTGAAATGGGTGAAGAGAAATAACTTGACTGGGGAGCTAAAGAATTTTTTTTGGGATCAATGGCTTCAAGCCCCAATCCCTCCAAAGAAGAAAGAACCTGAGACTCTTTCAGCTCGGGAATGCAGAGTCCTTAAAATAGTAAAGAAGAAAGGGCTAAAGAAAAAGAAGTATCTGTAGCCCTTGATAACTGAAGCTAGAAGAACTCCGCCAAGAGAACGCTTGTCTATTATGGTGGAAAGTTCCCGGCGGAAAGGAAAAGAAATCTGGAGACCAAAGTCTTGCAGAAAAGGAGAAAGAAGAGTTCATTTGGGTGTGACATCTGGTGTGGCTTATCGGAGATCTGGCCCTGCCTACAAAAAATGTCAGAGATGGGTTCCAAAGAAGACCCACGATGACTCCCCTTTCGACGGTCGACACCTTGGAAAATCCTTCAAGGGATCCCGTCGCTTGCCATTAAAAGTTCGTTAGGAATGTTAAGCCCTTATGAACTTAGTCCCAAGCTAACCAAGAGGGGGATAAATTGGTATTTTAAAAAAATTCTTCTTTTCAACAAAAGGAATGAAAATCACAATTAAACCAAAATCACAGCCCCCACAAAATTAAATGCGGGAAATAAAAGTGCGCGAAGCAAGGAAAACAAGAACAACAAGAATTTATAGTGGTTCGTCAACTCGACCTACGATCCACTCCTTGGAGGCACCTCCAAGTTATTTGCACTACAAAACGTGGAATCCTCACTTTAGGCCCCCACGGCTAGGCGGAGAAAGCCCTCACAAAGAACCTCCTTTTTGCCAACCTGGCAAGGCAGAGAACCTATCTCTTTTTGGCTTCCTCCTGAAGCTGGCAGAGACCACAACCAAAAAGCTAACTCTTACCTCTACGACCCTTCCACGGACGAGAACTCTAGAGAAGAACAAGCAGAGCGATCCTTGAAAGCAACCTGTGAATCCTTCACAACTCCCCCTCACAAGATCCTTCTCTCTTCTCCTCTCTCTCTTTCTCTCCTCAAGGCCTTCTCGGTCAAGGCAGCAGCCAAAGTTCTTAAATTAACTTGAACAAGAGCTCTTAATAGAAGAGCTTCAAAGGGATCATTAATTGCAAGTTCACGATCTCAATCGTCCAGGTCATATATGACATCGCCTGGCCGATCAGGTAAAAACTCAAAAAGATCGGCCAGAGTATCGCCCTGGATGCAAAACTGACGATGAAAATTGGCTTGACGTCCAGGCGTCTCACGATCGGTCCTGGCCGAACTCAGTTCAAATATGGGAAAAATCTCCTAAAGAATAGCCCTGGATACGAGCCTCGGCCCGTATATTATCGTCCTGAAGTAACTTAAGGTTTTTGACTGGATCGTCACTGGCCGATCCTGGGATCGGTCCAAGGACGATTAATGATTCGCTATCAATCACTCTTAATTGCTCCATTGAATTTCCTGATCAATTAAGCATAATTTGTGAATATCCGCCAGGCGATCAATGATCGTCCTGGTCGATAATTTAAAAATACCAGTATACTTTAATCTGTCCTATGGCGACAACTTCTTTCTGTTTTGAGCTTAATGCGTTCCTGGCGATACAGACGTATGCGTCCAGGCCGATATGTTAATGACGGTTGGCCTTAATTAAGAATTCTTATTTAGACTTTCTTTGTTTTAAGCCTAATCGTCCAGGACGATGTAAAAATCGTCCTGGGCCGATATAATAAAAACAAAATTCATTAAGACTCTCAATGTGTGTGTTTAAGGGTACTTAGCATCAAGTCTGTTTGCCATTAAAATAGACTCAAGAAGAAGAAAACAAAGTACAGACTAATCCACCTAGACCTACGCAAATCTTGAACTAAGCTTCGTCTGTTCATTACAATTTTTGAATTCCTGAAAGTTAAGAAGCAAACAAGCCCAGTCTAAAGAAATCCATAGTGTTTGTCATCATCAAAACAAAGTCATGAAAATATATTTGCAACAATCTTCCCCCTTTTGGAATGATGGGCAACACAAGTAGGAAAAAACTCGAAGAAAAAGAGTTCACTAAAATTCAAAGTTACAAGCACATCCCTTTTTCCTACACAACCTACTCCCCTTTTTGTCATCACAAAAAAGGTCCAGACAACAAAAGAAAAAGAGAAATAGAAACTAAAACAGACTAAAGAAAAACAAACTCAGAAAACAGGAAACAAACAGCAGAAAAACACAGGACCGCTTAGAAAATGAAGGACTGATCATCAGATGAGGTGGTGGAGGTGGCCTGCTGAACGTAGCTGGCAAGCGTGGTTAAACTGTGCATTGACCAGGCGAGTCCTGGCCATTGCTGCTGCTTGTGAAGTCACTGCAGCTGTCAACATATGGCTAAATCCTCAGTGCGGTGCTGCTCGTAAGCGGGCAATGTCCTCAGAATGTTGCTGCTCTTGACAGCAACGTAGGAGTCAAGCGGGTCTCCCATCGATAAAACCTCTCAAGTCAACTGATCAACCGGTGAGTGCTGGTGTAGAGAACAGGTCAGGAAAGGATCGGTGAGCGGGAGCCTCCTCTTCAACCCCCCGAGGTCTCAGGGTGGAGACGAGTACTGTGAAGGGTACTGAAGGAACTGTTTAAGTAGAAGGGAGTTGGAGGTATTGGTGGACATACGGATAACTGAAGTTAGTATTTGTTTTCAAGGACATACGGCTATGATGTGTCCTAAGGGCTAGATTGGGTTTCCTCTTGTGACTGGATCGGCCGATTTGTGGTTAAGTGATGCAATGTATCGAAAAATTAGGTCCCGCAGTAATAAGATTCTCTATGAGCCATGATGTAGAAAGTAGTGAGGGAAAGTAGAGGGGTGATGTGGATCGGTCCCGCTTTTTGGAATATGAGGTGCGAAGGCATGTTGGATTGTCCTAGCATCTTTGACTAAAAGAGCTAGTCTCTCCAAATGGGGAAAGGTGGCTATGGTCTGGCGAAAGGAAGTGATTCGCCGTGGACATGTAAGATCAGGATCAAAAGCGATTAAGTCCTTTCCCCGGTGGTGGATAGCATGGTAAAAGATCAACACAATCTGATATGGTATTTTTCGACAAGGACGTCATCACTAGGAGTCAGGGCTATAAGGTATGGGTTAATCGAAGGTTTGCGAAAAAATTCCTCGAAGAAACTCGGTATAAAAAAGGGAAAAGCAAGAGACAGAATGAAGCAAGGGAGGTGTGAGCAAAGATCCATTACCGGTTGAATGTGGGCAGGATTGATGATTCGGAGATAGTTATCCAACACTCTTTGTAACGATGGTAGGCGATTCATCTTCTGCCTTCCTGAAATGAGGGTCAATCCTAGCCCTCGAAGAATCCCCAGAAGTTTGTCGGACACGTTTCCCACCAGCATAGAGAGGAGTTAGCAAAAAAACACAAGAGGAGAAAGGGTGGATAAGTGAAAAAAGATGGCGGAACGGCCAGAATTTAAAGAAACGGCCATATAATTCTGGCCGATTCGCAGAATCGTCAGGCCGTATGGCTCAATAATTGCGTACAAGGCCGATTGGTCAAAAAGGCCGTCCGATCGTCCGGGCGATCAGATATCGGCCAGGCGATTAGGACACGGCGATCGGCAAGGAGTCAATCCCGGACGACCGTTGAAAAAAACAGATCGTCCGGTGCCGATTAGGTGTATCCGTTCAGGACAATACACAATAATTGTTCGTAGCTGAAGTTAAAACGTTTTAATCACTGCCACGTATTCGTCAGGACGAACCAGTGGTCGGCCAGAGCCGATTGTCCAATAATGGAGTCGTCCGGGGCCGATTTTTAAGGATTTAACCGTGCTGAACGTGATCGTTCCGGGATGATCCAGTGTATCGGCCAAGGACGATGCAGCATAAGATATGCATCGGCAGACGAAATAATTTATTCGGCCAGGACATCATGCATGATTGCAACAGAGTTTCGATCATAATCGTCCAGGACGATATGGATCGTCCAGGAGTAATAGTTACAAGCAAGCATAGAAAAGGTCAGCAGATGAATTTTGAGAGATTTGCCCTATCGTCCAATGACGATAGAAGGTATGGCCAGGACGTGTGACTAGAATTTGGAAACATATAAGAAGGATGGTGATGAATCAAAGCCCTCAACAAAAACAAAAGAAAAACAGACAAAACAAAGTAATTAGAAAGCAAAAAATCAAGGGAATAAAAAAAAAGTGAATTATTTTGGGATTATTTTAATTTTTCTAATTTTTTTTGGTTTTATGGAGGCATCATATAAGAATTTCTCAAAAAGTTTAACTTTTAAAGTTTCCAAGAGATCAAGGAGTTTTAGAAATCCAATCAGAAGAAGGTAGAACATCTGATTCTGTTAAACCTAGATCGGACATCCTTCAGGGTACAAAATTTCTTTTGGGAGAAACAGAGCCTAACTCAAGATAACTAAATAGGTAAGAATATCCATTCAGACTTGTTTTTGACAAAGAAATATCCTCATAATTAATAAAACAAAGTTATTTTTTCTAATCATGGAAAATTGAAATCAAGTCTTTGAAAGCATCAATAATCAATGAGTTCTTTAAGTTTTAGAGTTTTAGCAAATAAGAGGATAAACTTGCAATTTAAGTGAGCTCATTTTTGTGCCTCTTGTCACTTCGATGCTCTTTGAGCAATATTTTGATTCTTTGATACATTTTTGTGTATATATACTTCTTTTCAATTTGGCTTCATTGGCCTCTTCTTTTTAACTCTTGCAAGCTAGAAACCTTTAATTACCCTTAAAAAAAACTTAGTTTTGTGAGTATATTCTCCAAATAATAGAAATAAAGCTCTCTCTCTAACATAGGGAAGAACAATCCATCACACAAAAATCAAAATCATGTGAAAAATTGCAATGGCAAAAGATTTTTCAAAACCTGAAAGATTAT